AGAAGACAAAACATATGGCGATGTATGGTCCCATGTTCTAGCAGAGGATTCATTCCTCTGTTTCTTTTGTTTCTTTTTTTTTTTTTTTGTGGCCCTGGCCCCACTCGTCACCACTTGCAGAGAAGACAAAACATATGGCGATGTATGGTCCTATCTGCTACTTGAGTGTTTTTCCCCGCTGCTCTAAGTGTCGTGGGCCTACTCCCGCTACTTCAGTGTTTTCCCCGCTGCAACCCTCAATGTCAGGGCCACAGGTAAGTACCGGCCCTACGGGGGCTTTCAAGCAAGCAAGTGTCCTTGCGGGTCACACACACGCTCAAGCCGACAAGCACTCAGACAGGAACGCAGACCAGCAAGCACACACACACACACACACACACGGACTTCGAAAACTCAGCAGAAAGCGGGAATCTCAGCAAGGCATTCATTCCAGTGGCAAAACTCTGAAATCATCTGTGTTCTCAGTCCGTGTTTGGGCACGTCCTTACAGAGAGGCATTTAAGCATTTGAGCAAAATATCCTGTGCCTCCGCTAGGTTGAAGCATAGCATATCGGCCTTGCTCCCCTGCACAACACTCTACGTGATTTTGGACCCTTCCTGGACCCGATACATTGAAAATGCCCGACTCGTCGGAATGCACGTGGTCCACATAGTGTCCAAATGCATGTAGAGTGTTGTGTAGTGGAACAAGGTCGTATGTGTCTTCAGCATCTTAGGAGAATCACCAGAACCCTCGAACTATTGGCGAGTGTCATGCACTCGCCGTATCACCCACTGGTACATACAGCGCACTGATTAATAGTAATGAGACCTAAGCTTGCGTTCAAACTTCTAACCCTGCTTTGATACAACAACAACACTAAAGGTTTTACTCCTTCAAAATACACAAAGAAAAGGAAGAGGAAGAGTTGCTGAAAGTGTTTTAAGTACAATAGTGGTTTGCAGTGCCTTTGTCGTAAGCCAGTGTACTTCAGAAGCTCTAGGGCCTCGCTCCTCTACTCTCCAAATGTGCAAAAAAAAGAGACTGATTCTTCCGCTAGAACATGGAAAGATACATCGACGTATTTTTTTGTCTTTTGTGAATGTGGAGAGTCATGGAGTGAGGCCCCCTAGAGGAAGAGAAGGGGAAGTACGAGAAAAGACAAGGAAAAGAAATGAGAAATGACGAGAAAGAGAAAAGATAAGCAAGAGTTGTAGAACAGTGGTTGGCAGTGCCTTTGCAATGAGCATGGATATCGCAGAAGCTCTAGAGGAAGATGAGGGAAAGGAAGAGAAAGAAAAGGAATGGCCTGTGAAAGAGTTTTTTATTGTTACGACCGGTATGGATCCAGTTTTTATAACACCTCCAAGGGTTGTAGTGGTTACGAGACTTCGTTCTTGAGGCCGAGGGTGCCGGTTCGAGGCTGTGCGTGCATGGCGGGGCCTGATGTCCTAAACGCACGTTGTTCAGTAACTACTGTGAAGGCGCATGTGGAACCTGCGGGCAAGTTGGCCCGCCTTGGAGTGACCAGGTTAAGTAGCGGTGGTGGGGCTGCGTGTTGTCCGAGCGGAGTGTGTTGATTGCCGTGTCCGTGTTGTGGTGTTGTGTGTGGTGTGAGTTCGGGAGGCTACAGCCCTGGAGGTGGGCTGGATATCACAACCGGCATGGATTTAGTTATTATAACACCTCCAAGGGTTGTAGTGGTTACGAGACTTCGTTCTTGAGGCTGAGGGTGCCGGTTCGAGACTGTGCATGCACGGCGGGGCCTGATGCCCTAAACGCACGTAGTTCAGTAACTACTGCGAAGGTGCATGTGGAACCCACGGGCAAGTTGGCCCGCCTTGGAGTGACCGGGTTAAGTAGCGGTGGCGGGGCTGCGTGTTGTCCGAGCGGAGTGTGTTGATTGCCGTGTCCGTGGTGTGGTGTTGTGTGTGTGGTGTGAGTTCGGGACACGACAGCCCTGGAGGTGGGCTGGATATCACGACCGGCATGGATTTAGTTATTATAGCACCTCCACGGGTTGTAGTGGTTACGAGACTTCGTTCTTGAGGCTGAGGGTGCACGTTCGGGGCCTGATGTCCTAAACGCACGTTGTTCAGTATCTACTACCGTCTTCACCTGAATGGGACGCCCGGTCATTATCGCTGTATGAAGACTGAAAATTGCACCAAATACGGCTGTAATGACGGGGCGTTCTATGTGGGTGAAGACGGTAGTGTCTGCACGAAGATGTTCGGGTTAGTCCGGTAAGCGTTGGTGCAGATCACGACTTGGGATCTGAGCATTAGCATAGGTCATGGTACCATGGTTCCACCTTGAGGTGACTCCCCGGGGTCCCCGCGCAATCCATCTGACCTCCCAATGGATGAGAACTACGGGCACCTCCTGAGGCCTGGCCACCACCCTCTACTACATCCTGGACCTTAAGAGGTTTTTTATGCTGAACAGTGGTTTGTCACTCCTTTGTCATGAGCATGAATACTGCAGAAGCTCTGGAAGAAAGGAGACGTTCACTAACTTTGCTTACGTGGACACTGTTTTTTTGGATGGTTGGTCCCATGCTTTTTGTTGTGTGTGTCTGTCGAAATCGGTGCTGTTGCGGTTGATGGTTCCAGTATTTGGGGGGAGCCATGGAAAGTTATGCAGCGTACCGATCAGGTAAAAGGGAAAATTGTTGCCCAGACGAAGGTTGATCATATTTTCTGGTGGCGGTCTCAAGCCATCCGCTACATGATGCGCTTTCCGAGCGAATACTTGTGCGGTGTTCTCAATCGTGCCCGTCACGACGTATTCGGCGACATCGTCGCTGAAGAAGTAGTAGACAGTGGTGTTTATGAGCAAGTGCTCACCGCAGCGGAGGAAGATAGCGCCGATCGCAGTTCTGCCGATGTTCGCGATCGAAGGGACCAGTCAAGCAAGGATAAGGGGAACCCTCATGACCTCCACACAGGCGGTGTCGATGACGGAACCGCTGGGCGAAAACTCATGTCGCCCGGCGCCACCAATGCTTACAGGAGGAGCAGGAGGGAAGGATCGCATGCTGCCATTCGCCTTCATGCAAGGCTGGAGCGACGACTGTTGGCTCGACCGCGTGCACCAGCACGAGGAGCGAGAAGAGGCAACAACCAACGGAGGAGAAGAGGAAGTCGAGCTGGCCAGCAGAAACCGAAGAGGGCACCGGTTTTCGATCAAGGAGGCAAACTGAGCAATGACAGTTTAGAGGGGGTTGTCTGGAGTCAGTCCGAGCCTTTCGTTCCTCGGCCAATCATTAGCGTGCATGTTCGGATGGGCGACAAGGCTTCTGAGATGAGGATTGCACCTTTTGAAGAGTACATGGACCTTGCTGCAGAGATTCGCCGAAGGTTTCCCGCTGTGAAGAATATCTGGCTCAGCTCCGAAATGCAGGTTGGTTGTGACTCTTCTGAAGTGAAGGAAGAACTCATCCTTTGGGACATCGGTTAAAAATGGGAACGAATACAGAGAAAGGAAGATTAGCATGGCCCCTGCACGAGGATGGCACAGACATGGAGAAATGATTCCCGCCCCCCCAAAAAAAAGAAAAAGAAAAAGAAAAAAAAGAGAAAACTATGGTGGAGTCATGGTGTGAATTTGAAAACGCACCACGCAAAAGGCCTGAAAATGCCGAATTTAAACAAGCTAGGTTTCCGGTCTGGTAGGGTCACGTGGGGGGGTGTTATGTCTGGGGGAATGTATGAAATGTGTTTTCAAACTGTTTTCCTGACTGCCCCATGGTTACCCCCCGCCCCTGCCCCCCAAAATAAAGATTGTGATGGAAGAACTGAGCAAAGCAGGCTGCAGGAGTTGAAGTGGGGAGGAGAGAAGGGGAGAGTGAAGGGAAAACAAACGCGCACACAAAAAAATTAGAAAGCGAGCTAGCTCAGGTTGTACACCCACCATGAACTGTTGAAATACAGGCCCGAGTTTGAATCCAGATGTGATCAGATGAGCAGAATAAAGAAAGCGAAAAGGGCATGTTCGCCACTGTGGTGATTGCCAGTCAATATGAACACTAGGGGAAAAAAAAAACAAAAAAAAAAACAGAAAAACAAAGGCTTCAAAACGCAAGGGTAGCGTAGCACACTTGGTGCCAAATACCATTTGTCAGTTGGAAGTTGGAACTGATATAATAAAACCAGACACAAAGAAAGAGGGAAAGCCATATTGCTGGTGGTCTTAATAGTAACTATTAGTAAGTTAATAATACTCACAATGAAGTAGAATGAACTGTGGAAACCGTGTTGTGTGACTGATAGTCTTTGTTTTCTTTTTCACCCTTTTTGAAGTTATTCTGGAGTTTGGAGATGGCTTGTCTGCACTGTTGCATGTCCATATTTTGTTGAATCGTGCATGAAGTGCACCACGTACATACCCTTTGGTTTTCACAGTTCATTCTGTGTACTTGGGATTGGAGGGCCATACTATGCGAGACCCGGACCTCCCCCACCGACACCTCCTTTGAAAACAACATGTTTAAGCTGGGAGGAGAGCTGTCATGTGGTCCCTCTGGAGAAAGCGTTGTATTCACGACATAGAGGGGGTCCGCATAGCAGGGGAAGAGGCAACAGAGATGATAAAGCAATATATTCAACAAGAACTCACTACACAATGGCATAAAGTTAAGAACCAACTGGATTTGTTTCACACAGTGAAAGACATAACACAGGCCATCCATCAATTCTCGGGGGAATGGCTGGGCAGTGTGAATGGGGGCTGGATAGCATCCATCCAATGGGAGGGCAGGCTCGCACAGAAGGACAATCAAGCGGATTTCAAGAGGGATTACTACATACAGTTCAAGGATTGGACCAAGGTGGGCCAGGACATCCCGCTGCGACCTCCCACAGAATTTCCAGACCCATTCCCACCCCACCAACTGGCAATGGTCGAAATGCAATGGTATGGGACAGAGTGAGCGGAGCTGCTAGGGGAACAGGTCTGGCAGTTGGGGACAGACTGAAGAGGCGGCACCGCAGAGGCACCTTCAAACAGTGGGGCAGAGGAAAACACCAGCGGACCACATGCCAGAAGGACCAAGGCAGAGGATTGCAGAAAGATGCAGACAAGGGTAACCGGGGAAGGCTGGAACTGGAGTATAACAGTTGATATCTAGAGTCCAGGGTTATCCAGGGTTATCAATGTTGGTAGAAGTGAGAACTGGGAAGTACTGATATATCTGGCACCCGAGTAGGGTGAAGAGGTTCCCTATCCCGCATCCTACGCAGTTAATCCCCTGGAGTCCAGGGTAATCAATGCTGGTAGGACTCTCTCCAACTATGTTCTGATACACTTTGTTTGGCCACTCTGTATAAGGGACGCTGGACCCGGTTTCCAGCAGGTGACGCTCCCCACCAATAGACGGGGCCTATCCTCCGGCGTTAGCGGTGACTGCTCGTATCAGCACGCCTAACACTGACGAGGTGTGGTCTTAAAAAAAAAAAAAAAAAAAAAAAAAAAAAAAAAAAAAAAAAAAGTATTGCACCGGCACTTACAGAAGTTCGACCTCACGACCTTGTTACGGCCAGTTCTAGGTACGTGCACAAGTTACCCTGCCGGGCTTACCCTACTGTTCTTACCGTTCATTTTTTTAAATTGCTTCATTGGCAGTATTGCACCGGCACTTGAAGAAGTTTGAACGCACGACCTTGTTACGGTAAGTTCTAGGTACGTGTACGTAAACCCTTCCTTTCGCATGTGTACTACTGCAGCACTATTGGAATCATGATGTCATAATCGTCATTAGTGTCGGCAGTTGGTTCTTAACTTTATGCCATTGTGTAGTGAGTTCTTGTTGAATATATTGCTTTATCATCTCTGTTGCCTCTTCCCCTGCTATGCGGACCCCCTCTATGTCGTGAATACAACGCTTTCTCCAGAGGGACCACATGACAGCTCTCCTCCCAGCTTAAACATGTTGTTTTCAAAGGAGGTGTCGGTGGGGGAGGTCCGGGTCTCGCATAGTATGGCCCTCCAATCCCAAGGCCAGACAGACGCAGTTGCCAGAAGTTTCCAAATCCTGTCCCACCAACGCCATGTGAGAACAGCCCCCGGACAATGCATGAATATGTGTTCTATGGTTTCTGGGATTCTGCGGGATGGGAGTGCCCTCCCTTTCTGCGCTAGGTGTGTGCGGTCAATGAGCCAGTCATTGGTGGGCAGGCAGCGATGTTCAATCTGCCACTGTAGTGAAGCCATCTTCGCCGGTCTGGAACGTGTGGTAGCGAACCATCGGATGGGGCGCATCTCCTCTGATCCCAGGTTCAAATGGGACTTCCAGCGAGCTTTCACCCTTTCTTTTAGGTTCACTTTCGGTCGCAGCAGATGGTAAGAGGTTTTCACCGTAAGGGAGTATAACTTTTTATTCTCCCTTGATCTGTATTTACGAGGGGGTGCCCATTGCCATTCCTCCGGGTCCAGCGGGAGTTCTACCAGGGGGGTGTCTGGTTGGTATGCGATCCACGCCTCCTTATCCCGCAGTACTCGAATACTGTGCAAGTCGGTTAATGTACCGGGTAAGCACATTGTCTCTGTTAATGTAGAAGAGATTGACTAGAGATTTCTCCTGGGCGAACCTCCACCACGTTACCCACGCTGGCCGGCTCATCCGGGGTCGCTACCCAATCTCCTTCTATCAATCGCGGCCCTTTCCGCAGAATGCGCACCCAGTCCAGGGGGATGGCAAAAATCAGCAATTCGATATGTTCCTCCACTTTATGACAGTACTTTAGTGTGGATCTTAGTTGCTGTGCAGATTCCCAATCCCTTTTCTCTGTGTCCCATATGTCTTTTATTCTGATTATGCCTCTTTTGACCCAACTGCTCCACGGAGAACATGAACTGCGAAACACCCTACTGTAGCGGTCTGTTATCCTCCGGTTCCCAAACAGGGGCTGACGTGCCACCTCGTCCCATCTGGACGGTGGGGGTTTATCGGGTAACGGGAGTCTGCGCCACGCTTTCAGCACACGGGTCCAGAAGTCGTCCCGGGCCAGATCTGAACGGGGTGTGTCACGGCTGACAGGTTGACCTCGTCGGGGGGACCGTGGTATTGACTAGAAGAGGTCTTCCAGCCAGGTTAGCGGGTGCACTCCCTGTGGAGCCTGTGGGGCCAATCTAGCGATTTGTTCCAGTGCAAGGGCCTGCCACGGGAGGTGTGGAGAGAAGAGTAACATTTTCACCCATTGAATTGTTAATGCCGTGACCTGGGTATCCGGGTCCAGGATCCCCAAACCCCCTTTTGTTTTGGGTTGGATCACCGATGTCCAGGCTACCCTACTTATTACATTTGGGAGTTCCCCATTGCCTCTCCATAGCAGGGCTGCTAATTGTCGTTTGAGCGACTGGACTGCCTCCTTGCTAAGCGCCCAAATTGCTGATTTGTACCAGAGAGATGCCAATACCACGCTGTTGATCGCCAGGGCTCTGCCGATAAGGGAGGTGAGTCGGTCTTTCCAGTTGGCCAACTTTTCCAACGCAGGTTTCAAAATCCAGTCGTCATTTGATGCAGGTTTACCCATAGCCGTTAACATAATTCCTAGCACCCTGACTGGTGCTGTTTCTGGGAGCCATTTAACTTGTGGTTACTCGGGGGGGCGTGCACCTTGGTGGTGAATCCACCACCCGAGGGTTTTATTTCCCCAGTTAACGGTCATGTCTGAGATCTCTGTGAACTGATCGAATAGTCTCCTAATCTCTTCCATATTTGCTGTGGTTGCGTCAAGTATAAGGGTGAGGTCGTCAGCAAACATCGAACAGATAGGGATCGCTTCTTCTGGGATGGCTAAGATCTGTAGTTTCCTCAGGTCTTTGCTGGCACGGAGGTTCGCCGCTAATGCCTCCATCACAATAATGAATAAGAAGGGGGCCAAGGGGTCCCCTTGGCGGACCGACCGTTGCAGTTGGAAGGGTGGTGCTATTCTCCCATTGACTTGGACCGAGGTTGTATCGTTGTGGTGTAATATTTCAGTCCAGCGCCGGAAGACTGGACTGATATTCGTTTTTTCCATGCATTTATTCAGAAAAAAACAATCCACGTGGTCATCTCCCTTTTCGAAGTCTATGAAGATCACGGCTGCGTTATGTTTATCCTGTCTTGTTAGTCTGAGAAGTTCGTTGACCAACAAAATGTTATCTTGGATCCTGCGCCCTTGGACAAAACCAGTTTGTGTTGGGTGAATGATGTCCTCCAAGGTTGGGAGCAGCCGATTCGCCAGTGCTTTTGCTAACAATTTGTACACGAGCAACGTTATTCGTCGATAGTTCCGGATGTCCATCCTATCTCCTTTCTTGTGCAATAAAGTGAGGACCGCCTGTCCCACCAGCTCCCCCATCTGCCCTGTGTCCCACACGTGCTGGTAGAACTCCATGAGATCTGGGGCCATCACAGT